CACTCCCACACGAAAGCACGCAATAGTACAATAGAGGTTTATAAATGTTTTGTTTGATGGATGTCATTAGAGATTTTAAAGAATAATTCTCAGTAAAATAAGCAGCAAAAGTATTTCCTAGCAATGATAACTAGTTACATACCTGGTCAGATGGGACATGACACTCTGGAGACTCCTCCACAAGACGAGCTAGAAACATACACAAATCTTTCTTCTCTAAGCGAATGCATGGATGACTTTCTGATCAGGTCCAAATAAAGAGGTCATAATTAGCAGGCAAATCCAAAAAGGTTCATGCTACAGAAAAGACACTGTTGATTGCTGCACTTTTGGTAACATGGGGAATGAAGGCAGAATATTTGGGTAAATGTAAAAATAAATATTTTTTTTTTTTAATATACTGCATACAGATTAACGGTCAGAAAATTCAAATGCGACGGAGAGAAGTTTGTGCTGGTGTTGCCTAAGGAGCGCACCACTTATTACTAAGCAACACGGAGCTGGTTAACAGCCATAAAGCAATACCATCACACAAATAACAAATCTAATAAACCCCACAGAAACTAGTACTCAAAGAAAAGCTCTGGGCTGTGGTTAAACAACTGCTGCTCATTCTATCTACAAAGAAGTAGCAAAACTTCGGTTGAGGTGTCTTGTTTTTGTATTATTTCCTGAAGCTGAAGAGATGTACGTGTTTCAGTTGACTGTATTGAGATGATTAACCGGAGCAAAGAGATACAAACCATCCTCCATGTCCTCAGCTCCAGAAGGTCTCCTCTTCCAGTGAAAAAAAAAGGCTTCCTTTTACCTTACTTTTGAAGCAAAGCTCTGTAGTAAAGAGAATATACATGTACTTGTGTGTGTATATATATATAAATCTATATATGAACATGTAACGTGTTTATTCATGTTTTTAAAATAATAAACACCCTTTGCCTCACATAAATGCAAACAAAATGTAAAGGAAAATCTGGTATCTTGTATTGCCGATCCCCTTTCTTTTTGCCAGCACAATAAACCTTCAGACAAACAAAAACAATTTGTACCGTCCCCATTAAGAATGCAACTACTACTCCAATGACAAAGTACTTCACAGCACCTTCTCTTTTAAAACACCATTAGCATAAGCATTAAGTATTTCCCATTGACAGATACCTCATCATTTTAGGATTAGCTCACTGATGCTTAATGGACTGGTTTTTTTCGTCTTTCATTATTTTCCACCAACACCTGATTTTCTTCCATCATGCTTTATCCCCAGTGTGATATAACAGAACAATTCTGTACTTCACTTACCCACAGGTCTGTTATCAAGAAGCCTTCAATCATAATAGCTTTCAAATGGCAAAACCAATGCTTTTATATCTTCCTTCTCTCCCGTGAGTCACACTCATGTACACTGTTTCCCCTCTGATGCTACCTTGGACCCGCCCTGTCAATATTTATATGCCACGAGATCAGTTTGTTGAATTAGGGAAGTTGACAAGGATGATTAGACATGGACCTATGACCGCCACAGACATGTAAAAAATGCTCTCCCCACAACTGAAAGTGATGAATTAAAAGCCAGATTTGTATTAGTATCATTATTTAGCACTGCCCAAATCTCTAACAAAACTTCTTCTCTGGGCTGTGTGAACTCGTGAGAAATTGGACAATCCAAATACCTATTTCCTGATATATATTCCCCTCTGAAATACAGTCTGCCAATACTTGCCTATGGAATCAATGTGCAAAGCAGGACTGCCCAATATTGGTAGGGCTTGTTATAAAACTGATGTAATTTCCTTAAATGACTTAATATTAATTTCTACACACAATCACACTATTCGCACCTTTTTTCTTTTCTTTTTTTTTTTTTTAACTACTGACTTCCTCGTCTTACAGTGCTTTAGGGAAGCATCAAAGCGTACCTAGCATATGGGATTTCCAACGTTTTTCCAGCGTCTTTTGCTACTCTCACCAAATTGAAGTAGACTCGATGTTTCGTTAAATTAAAGCAGAAAGTCAGTCAAAAGGAGGAGTGAACAGTTCTGGGAAATGCTAGAAAAATAACACCGTGAACATTGTTTTTCTTGGGCTGGAAGTTCCTTGAAGCGGCAGGTGACCGGTGCAGGCCTTTCTCTCCATACTGCCTTGGCAGCAGAAGAGATTCACTTCAACTAATGCTGCAACTGGGAGGAATGAGGAAGTTCACAGGGAAGGAAAACCCATCTGAAGACACTGAATGCAGTTGCCTATTAAATTCCACCGAGACAGCGTTTTAAACAGGCTCAGACTTTTAAAGTATATAAATGCTGGAGTTTGTAAGTTCTTGTCGTGGTTTAAACCCAGCGCAGCTGCTTGCCCACTCCCTCCAGTTGGGATGGGGGAGAGAATTGGAAGAGGAAAAACTCCTGGGTTGAGATATAGACAGTTTAATGGGGAGCGCAAAAGCTGCGCACACGAGCAAAGCAAAACAAGGAATTCATTAACTGCTTCCCACGGGCAGGCAGGTGTTCAGCCACCTCCAGGAAAGCAGGGCTACATCATGTGTAACGGTTACTCGGGCCGACAGGCGCCATCACTCTGAACATCTCTCACTTCTTTCTTCTTCTCCAGATTTAAATACTGAGCACGACTCTGCACCGTATGGGATATCCCTTCGGTCAGCTGGGGTCAGCTGTGCCGGCTGTGTCCCCTCCCAACTCTTGGTGCGCTCCCAGCCTACTCGCGGGCTGGGGTTAAACCACCACAAGAGCTTAACAAACCCCAGAATTTATAAACTTTAAAAGTCTGAGCCTGTCTAAAACACTGCCTCGGTGGGATTTAATAGGCAACCGCGTTCGGTCTCTTCAGATGGGTTTTCCTCGCCCATGAACTTCCCCGTCCCTCCCAGTTGCAGGGTTAGTTGAAGCGAGTCCCTTCTGCTGCCACGGCAGCACGGAGGGAGGAAAG